CAGCCCTATTTTTCACGTCCAATGCTATTCTAGCATTATATGCAGGTTAGGCTGCATTTTATCAAATAATGTTTTGCGGTTACAGAGCTGAAATTTTCTTTTCTCATCACTCCTTCTCTCTACACTTACTGCATTATTCAATGGTTGCAGGAAATACGAAATTTGCGCAAGGCCTGCAGACTTACTTGCTATCAAGGGATCACTCTTCTTTGAAATCCGAGTTTCAGCATGGACATGGCAAGGTCTGTTTGCTCATCAATTGTGACATACATCAGTAACATTCTAGTGTGGTTGGCCGACACCCATGTGTAGTTTTTTGCGTCAATTGTCTTTCTTCTTTCCTTTTGTGTTGCAGATGAAAGTTGATTGCATTGAAAATCAGCCTGCAGTGGAAGTGACACTGGGAGAACATGTGTTCTTGACAGTGGGTGATTACTACTTGACGATAAAAAATGGCTGTTGATTTGCGTTCTACTTTTCACCGCCTGTGTTCAGTGCCACCACTGACCACTACAGGGGATCACATACAAATTACACAAACCTGACAAAGCCTTTGTGCGCTCAGAGTTACTTCATTTATGGTACAGATAATGGAGTGAAAAGTAGTTGTCTTATTTGGAAAAATTAATCCAATTTTAGTATTAAAATGCTTGAAGAATTGCATTTTAAAGCCATTTTGGTTGATGATTTTGAAGCATGTATCCAAATTTTGTTTTGATTTAGTGTTGTGTTTAGTGGATTAACAATACCATGCATTAATGTATTGTTTTTTTTTGACGAATAAAAGAAAAAACAAAAAGGAAAATGTGAAGATGTGAAAATTAATCTAGTAGAAAGGTGTCACTGATCCTTCTTAAGGCAGACTTTGACAGGCAAGACCAGAAGCTAATGGTCATTTATTGCGCAGGAATCCCTTACAAGTGATAACTAAGTGACTAACCAGCTAGAATTAAATAAAGATACTGCCATGGATCAGGAGAGCCTCAACCTGAACCGGAGAGAGCTTCCTCATAGTTTCTTGCTTCCGAAGTCTTTGCTTCTTCCTCAGAAAAGCTTGGGGCTTTCGGAATCAGCCCAAGGATTTTGAACATGAGTTGATCAGCATCAAAATCATTGTTAGGAGTTGTCAACAGCTTCTCACCGGTGAAGATGGAATTTGCGCCGGCAAGAAAACATAATGCCTGCTCAGGCATGGAAAATCGAACTCTGCCAGCTGACAACCTTACCATTGATTTTGGCATGGCTATGCGAGTAGTTGCAATCATTCGAATCATCTCCCATATTTCAACAGGCTGACCAAGTCATGAGAAATATTAATGAAGCCACTGATTCTCAAACTTGCTAAGTAATGCTAAATTGCTAATGCATTGATGAAAATTCAGGAAAACATGATACCCAACCTAGAATACAGGGCGTAATGTTAGTACATAATAAGTTCACTTCTATCTTTATCACGGGAATGCAGAAGGCAGTGCAGTTTGGTACACATCATTGGATCATTATAAAAGTCAAGGGGAAAACAAGGAGGAAAAGAAGAATGAATGAAGGATCATTAACAACTGCCAACGCTGTTGTTACTTTGTCAAAGTTGGAATTACCTTTTGATCTTGAAGCGGCGTGCCTTTCACAGCAACCAAGGCATTAATGGGAACACTCTCCGGGTGAGAGGGGAGCGTTGCCAACGTGTGCAACAAGCCAACCCGGTCCTCCTCTGCTTCTCCAAGCCCTATAATTCCACCTGTTAACAGAGAAGTAAATTATCATTCTTTCCTTTTGAAGAAATTAAAAATGAAAATTCAAGAGATAAACTCAGGATATATAGAAGCTTAATGATAGGAATCATCCAGCGTTTAAAACAACATTGTTAAAATTACTCATCAAAAGATCTTTCAGAATTGACTGCCTTCTGCTTAAAAATATATAGAATATGACAGCTTCATAAGAGACCTTTCAACCATCAAAGGTTTTTCAGCAAGACGGAACTTTATCATTTAAATAGTGGAAAGACAAACATATTACGAAACCAGAAACCCAGTTAATTTTTCTTGCCAACTCCAGAAAAGAAACCAGCTAAAACTTTCCTCCTTTCTTTATCAGTTGAACTTTCCCAAAAAGAAGACAACAAAGAAGATAAAGAAGTTTGGATAGTATTTAACTTATAGCTCTAGGTGACTAGATAGCAACTCATATAGAGAGTGAATGCTTTCATTTATAATATTATTACAAAGTTTAACCAATCACCTGAACAGACATTAATTCCTGCTTCACGGACATGTTGAAGTGTTTCCAATCGCTCATCATAAGTTCTTGTTGTAATAATGTTTGGGTAATATTCTCTTGAGGTATCAAGATTATGGTTGTACGCTGTAAGGCCAGCCTTCTTGAGTTCAAGAGCCTGCTGCTTCTCTAGCATGCCTAAAGTGCAACACACCTCCATCCCCATATCCCTGGTGCATGATAGACACTTCAAATACCATTTGACACTTGATGGACAAAATCTTAGAAATTAATGTTAATTAGAGCAACAGCGTGATCAACACATTTCAAAATGTTATTTCGAAAATGGCGGAGATAAGGAAGGAACATCTCTACAAGAATGCCTATTATAGTGCATTATTAACTCCCATAAGCAGTCTGACATCAATGATGCATTATTACCTAATTTCTTTTACATATTCAAGAATTTGGTTGAAGTTAGTTTTCCTTCCGACAGTGTCTCTCCATGCAGCACCCATGCAAAAGCGTGTACTACCAGCCTCTTTTGCCTGCCAAAAATATGCAAATAACTTCAAATCATGCAAGAAGTACCACATACAAATTACAACTAAATGTACATTTGATAGCAGTTTATACAATCTATCAGTTGTAGTGAAAAACAGTAATTAACTAACTGGTGCAGCTACAAGAACTCTATAAAGTTCACCATGTAATAAGTTGCCAATCATATCAATTAATAACTTGACTAAACACCGATGAAACAACTCTAAAGTGGAAACTAGTCATATTAGAGCAGTATTTTTCAGGCTGTATTTTTGCATATCCTTTCATTTCTTCCAAATACATCAAAAAAATTACCATCAATTTTATTCTCTCACAAACTTTCCCCTAAAAAAGGAAGAAAAGAAGAAGCTCCCCCAGTAATCTGATTCAAACATATTTTGGCTGCACAGCATAAGCATAAAACTAAGAGGAAGCATCGAAACTCAACCAGATAAACAGTAGCGATAATGTCATCCATTGCAAAGTTACAATGCAATAAAGATATTGTGTAGAATGTCAAAAGCTGCAAACCATCATTGCAGCAGTGCAGCACCAATTTTATGTACAAAGGGAAAACATTGCAATCTATAGATATCAAAAACCAACTAGTTTGAGATTAGTAAGCCATTTAGCAGAGTTGAGAATGATTAGAATGCTCAAGCAGAATGCAAAGAATGAAGAGATAAAGCTGCTAACCTGTTTAGCTGCCTGCATTACAGCTTCCTTAGTCATAAGCTTTTGGGCCTTTAGCCCAGTATGATACCTTGAGGACTGAGGACAGTATGAACAATCCTCACTACATCCACCAGTCTTGATTGAGAGGAGGGTACACTGCTGCACCTCTCGAAAGTTATGAGCATATCTGTGAACTTGAGCCTAAAGTAGCAAAGTCAAACGATTAGACGCGGCTGAGGAGAAGAGAGAGTAAATGCAAGTAAAGTTGTGATAAAAATTGGAAATTTGAACATCAGGCTATGAAAAATGCTATGTGCTTAAATTGAATTTGGTGATTGCGAGCAAGCAAAGAGGGAGTAATGCCTAAGAAAAACATGTGTATCAGAGAGAGAGAGAGAGAGGGTAAAAATGAGACAGACTCCGTGGAAAAGGAGATCAAGAACAGGAGAATCGTAGATGGACTTGATCTGCTGGCGTGTCCAGTCGTTTCTAGGACCTTCTCGGATAGTTCTCTCAGCTTCCACAGCTGCAGCCGATGCAGTAGTAGAGTAGTTACTACAACTTCTGAGCAGCAGCTGAGCGGCAGGGGATCGAACGGACAACATTTTTCTTTTTGGTTTGGGGTTAGGTAGAGCTCTACTCCTAATAGGTGTGGTGCAGAGTGTAGATTTTCCTCTCCTTTCCTTTCCTTTCCTTCGGGGGGAAACGGAAGAGAAGAGGGAAAATGAAAGCCCAAACCAAGGCCTAGCAGGAGGTAGGAGGAGGTCTGCTTATGCTTGTACTCTTCTCTTCCAGTCCCACTTGCGGTCCGTCACACAGAAACTGATGAGTTCAGTGACCTAACTTAGCTTATGTGTTGTTAATGTTGGGATTTCCGTCTCTGTTTGGGACCCACCAAATCAACGACCCGTATCCTTTCCCCGCAAAATCAACCATCAAATCTTACCTAAGCAGTAGTGGTAAAACAAATTTATTTTATTTATGGTATACATAGGAGTATTATTACAGAGCAAAGGGGCGTAGCTAGTGTTCTGGTTTTACCCTTCCATTCTCATTTGTCGGTCTCACTCTGCAAAAGTGCAAAGAGGATGGGCGGCAGCAACAACGTAAACTCGGTGTTCTACGCGGAGACCTACCATCCCATTCAGGCGGGAAGCATCGACGGCACCGACATCCTCCCCCACGATAACGCCGTTTATCGAGCTCTTCTCTGCTCCAATGCTTCCCTCTGTAATTTCTTTTTTCGATATCTCTCACTTTCCTTTTTCTTAATTTTCCCACTTTTATTTTTTGGTTAATTCGTTTATTAATTGCAGATGACCCTTTGGGTGACCCCAAGCTCATTGGCGACCCTTACCGCACCATCTTCGTCTCTCGCCTCTCTCACTTGACCACGGAACACACTCTCCACAGGGTACCAAAACATCCCTGCCCCCCCCTTTTTTTTTTA